AGGCTATGAACAAACTGTTCACAGTAATGAACATAGTCCTTCAGTTAAAGCAACACGGCTTGGAGGCTCCGTCACATCAGATACCTAAACCATAAATCACTGTGGATGCAAATCACATGAAATGGGGAGAACCATCTCAGTCAAAGAAAAATGCTCAGCAGCGAAAGAAAAACTATATATAAACAGAACAAAATCATGCACCTCTGTTACTAACATTCTAGAAGCTTAATAGTTAGGCAGGGAAAAATCAGCTTCAATGTTCTTGACATGTTCTAAATAGAGATGATTGGATGAGCCAGAAGCCTGCAGAGGAGGAAGAGGACTCATCACCAAGGTCTGATCTTCTGGAATAGAAATGGGAAACACTCAGTATGGTTGTTCTCATTTAACTCTTATACAAAAGCAGTGACTTCTCAAGAACTAGAGAAAATTAGCTCTAGCAATGGCCATGCAAGTAGCAAGGCTGGGACAGGGCTTTTGCCCTTCAAATTCTGGAGAATAAATTTGGACAAAGCAACCCAGACATTGGGATGCCAGCATCATGAACCTATCAGGGGTAACACTGTTAGAGCTCCTGGACCGGAATAATCTATTTCCAGGGTCACCCGCATGCAAACTTTGACATCAGTTTGTGAAAGGAAAAAAAAAGCCCTTGTTAACAAAGTTTACCCAAAATAAGGTGGATGAACGTCTGTCCTTAAGGTAAGATACCATGGCAGCATCAATAGTCAAAGATGAACCCAACATAGTGGGTGAAATCTTGGCTCCAAGCAGGTCATTGATTTAATTAAGATCAGGATAAGAAGATAAGAATTTTCTGTAGATAACTCTATATTGGCGTCGATTCTGAAAGTTCCACAACACTAGAACAGTACCAGTTTTGGGGCAACATGCAGGGAATTGATTAAAAAAGACCAACAGCTGCTTTTCCTCTCTAAGCAATATTGCTGAGCGTAGGAAATTTCCCCCAGGGCACAAACCAAATAGACTGTGCACTGGGGGAGGTTCACAGCAAGTGGGGGGGGAAGATGGCTTTGTTCTGCCGTAGCTATTACTGCTTAAGGTCTCTACTAGACCGTAGAACTAGTGCACTGCTCTCTTCCCCCCGTTCAAAGGGGATTTAGCCAGTGGACCTACATATCATAGCTGGCTTTCCACAAGCCACACCCCCACCTCTTTGGCCTCCTCCCCAAACTTCTGCTCTCTTAGTGCTCGGCCCCAAGGAGCCCTTGTTGAGCTGTGATTCATGGTGTACGTGGGCACATAATTCTTCCAGTGAATCCTCATATCCTTATCTCAGCTCACCTAAGAAGGAACTTCCCCACAACTATTAGTGACCCACCCACAGGGGCCGGGATTTAGAGAGGGTTAAAGATGAAGGCATTTAATTTTAAAACTATGCTTAATTCCTTTCAAGTCAGTGGAAGTTAAGTATCACTTAAGTGCTTTCCTGTTAGCTAATTTGGTGTGGCCTGCGTTGTGCAGGAGGTCAGACTAGATGATCATAATGGTCCCTTCTGACCTTAGTATCTATGAATCTATACATAAAGGTTTATGCTTCAGAACTATACATTATGGTTAGCACAAAAGCTTAATAATGAGCATTCTGTCATTATAGTATTACTGAGGGGGCCTTGGGTAGGCAAGGCTAAGCAACAACCCAGAGACACAGCTTTGACATCTTCAGTTTCTGTGCTGGGAAGCAGCATGGTCAACTCCATAGGAGACCTGAATTTTAACCATAGCTGTCACTGACCTGCTCTGTGAACCTTAGCAGATCACTTCACCTCTCTGTGGATCATCTGGAAAGTGGGGATGCTGATACTTACTTGCCTTTGTAAAGTGCTTTGAGTTTTACCGACTAATGCATAATATTTAAAAAAAACCTCTTAGAAGTAGGGCAGTCAAGTGATTAAAAAATTAATTGTGATTAATTGCACTGCTAAACAATAGAATACCATTTATATAAATATTTTTGAATGTTTTCTACATTTTCAAATATATTGATTTCAATTACAACACAGAATGCAAATTGTACAGTGCTCACTTTATATTTTTTTGATTACAAGTATTTGCACTGTAAAAAAAATAGTATTTTTCAATTCACCTAATACAAGTACTGTATTGCAATTTTTGTCATGAAAGTTGAACCTACAAATATAGAATTATGTACAGAAAGACTGCATTCAAAAACAAAACAATGTAAAATTTTAGAGCCTGCGAGTCTACTCAGTCCTACTTCTTGTTCAGCCAATTGCTAAGGCCTGGGCTACACTGGGGGCAGGGTTCGAACTAAGATACACAAGTTCAGCTACGTTATTCACATAGCTGAAGTTGAAGCATCTTAGTTCAACTTAACTGGCTGTACTCAGGGTGGCGAGTCAACAGCGGCGGTTCCCCCATCGACTCTGCTTACTCCTCCTGCCGAGGTGGACTACAGGCGTAGATTTGGAGATCGATTTATTGCATCTAGACAAGACACCATAAATCAATCCCTGATAGATAGATCACTACCCGCCGATCCGGTCGGTAGTGAAGACGTACCCTAAGACAAAACAAGTTTGTTTACAATTGCAGGAGATAATGCTGCCCTCTTCTTGTTTATGTCACCTGAAAGGGAGAACAGGCATTTGCATGGCACTGTTGTAGCTGGCATCGCAAGATATTTACATGCCAGATGCGCTAAAGACTCATACGTCCCTTCATGCTTCAACCCCCACTCCAGGGGACATGCGCACATGCTGATGACGGGTTCTGCTCAATAACAATCCAAAGCAGTGCAGACCAACGCAAGTTCATTTTCATTATCCGAGTCAGATGCCACCAGCAAAAGGTTGATTTTCTTTTTTGGTGATTCGGGTTCTGTAGTTTCCGCATTGAAGTACTAGTCTTTTAAGACTTCTGAAAGCATGCTCCACACCTCGTCCCTCTCAGATTTTGGAAGGCACTTCAGATGCTTAAACCTTGGGTCCAGTGCTGTAGCTATCTTTAGAAATCTCACATTGGTACTTTCGTTGTGCTTTGTCAAATCTGCAGTGAACGTGTTCTTAAAACGAACAACATGTACTGGGTCATCATCAGAGACTATTGTAACATGAAATATATGGCAGAATGTGGGTAAAACCGAGCAGGGGGATATACAATTCTCCCCCAAGGAGTTCAGTGACAAATTTAATTACTGCATTTTTTTTTTTACAAGTGTCATCAGTATGGAAGCATGTCCTCTGGAATGGTGACCGAAGCATGAAGGGGCATATGGATGTTTAGCAATGCCGGCGATGAAAGTGTCATGCAAATGCCTTTTCTCACTTTCTGGTGACATTGTAAATAAGAAGTGGGCAGCATTATCTCCTGTAAATGGAAACAAACTTGTTTGTCTTAGCGATTGGCTGAACAAGAAGTAGGACTGGGTGGACTTGTAGGCTCTGAAGTTTTACATTGTTTTGTTTTTGAGTGCAGCTATGTAACAAAAAAAAAATTTACATCTGTAAGTTGCACTTTCACGACAAAGATTGCACTACAGTACTTGTATGAGGTGAAAAATACTATCATTTTTACAGTGAAATATTTCTAATAAAAAATATTCACTTTGATTTCAATTACAAAACAGAATACAATATATATGAAAATGTTGAAAAACATCCAAAATATTTAATAAATTTCAGTTGGTATTTTATTAATAGTGCAATTAAAACTGCGATTAATCACAATTAATTTTTTTGAGTTAATCACGTGAGTTAACTGCGATTGATCAACAGCCCTACTTAGAAGCAACACACTATACTGGTGGGCATTTTATTTCAGAGTAAAGAAACTAAGAGGTAAGCAGTTGAATGCGCGTTCGGGGCATTTTCTTCTTTGGCTAGGGCATCCCCTTTCCTCTCAGACAGGCAGTCTTGGCCTATTAGCGTGAACATAAAAATCAAAAGGGTGGGATTTTATGGGTGGGATTTTAAAAAGCACTCATCAGTGGCCTCACTTTGTTCCTACTGACATGAGCACTTTTTAAAATCCTACTCATGATATCTATAAAGGAAGGAGGTTTTTATTAATCTTGAATGCATGTAACACTTACTAAGCATTTACTATACTTCTACCCCTTCCTCTCCCTAATCTTCCCCCAGGTAAATTGGGCAAAAAAAAACCAAAAACCCACGGATTCACGGCTGTATTATGTGCCCTATCCAAATTTCTGTCATATCACATAAAGGAAAGACCCTTGAAGTATTGAGTGGTAATAACTGTTTATTTTACAACCTTATAAAATTTTTAAAATATAGGATTGTGTACATTAGAATGCAGAGTGCACTGTGTTTTATTCCGTTAAAAACAGCTCGAGATACTAGCTTTTAAACAAACACCTTCAACTTTAAAAAAATTTCTCTTCAAATTGTTTTTACCCTCTCCTAAAACAACAACAAGAACTGAACAAAATTAGAGAAATCTATTTGTTGGTTTTCCTTGTGCATTGAACAGTGCTTTGTGTTTAGTCATTTCCCCCTCCCAAAGTCAGTCACTTACCCATCTTTGCATATTTTTTCCCCACAAAGCAACAAGCAAAAGCAACATTTTTAAAACATTGGGAAAAAAAAAAAGTAATTCTAAAGCTACAAAAATTGTGCCGGACGACTCAGGCCAGTAAAGTATCTGAAACTCGAGTGCCTTTTGAAATTGACTAGATTTCCTTTTCAAACCTTTTAACAGGCACTCCATCGGATTACATTTTTGGTTGTAAAATGTATGGCTTTAAAATGCATATTGTATATTTTACAACATTAAAACAAATCTAAAACAATGGCTGAGATTTTCATAGCAATGCAGGGATTTTAGTCACACATCTGTTATTCTAACTTATGGAAGTGATGAGACTAAATCCCCAATATTGATTTGAAAATTTTAACCAGCATTCCCAACTGTCTGTCAGAATCTTCAAACAGGATTCTAACATACACCAAAAGCACGTTCATATTAAGCTAAGTAACTTTTGTTCTGTGTCACAGGAATCCTCTATCGCAAGTCCTGCGCATCCTCTGCAGCCTGTCTCATAGCCTCTGCTGGATACCAGTCTTTCTGCTCCCCAGGGAAAATGAACTCTGTTTGTATCAGCTGCTGCAATACTCCACTCTGCAATGGACCCCGGCCCAAGAAGAGGGGGAATTCTGGCACAGTGCCCAAGGCAGGCATATTAACTACTATTTTGCTCTTAAAATTGGCTCTTTTATCATCAGTGCATTGCTAAACTTAAAGGATTTTTTTTTGTCCTGGCATTATTTGTTCCATATCCCCATATCCCACTTTCTTCAAAGACACTGCTGTTCTTTTGCTGCCACCCTGCTAAAGAAGAGTTTGGTCCAAGAACCATCTTCCTCTCCCTGTTTTTTTTTCTTTTGGTCAGCAAGTAATAAATTCAGTTGTCTGATTGAATATCTAGTGTGCACTTTAAAAAACAAATGGCGCACAAACTCATGCTCCATTTGTGTAACTGGAAACAAGTCCATCAGAAACAGCACTCAAAGAAGGTATAGTTGATTGTTCAGTTTCTAGATCCTCAGTTATTTTAATTTCCACGTTATGTTTATTGCTAATCATCTAACTTTGCCTTACACGGAGTCACATTTCATGTTCATGAAGGCCATTCTGTGCAGCTGGACTGGACTCTAAATTAGTCTCCAGTGGCATTATTTCCAAGTTGGTCTCCAGTGATTCAAGATTCAATTTTGATGGACTGGTCTCATTCTGAAAAGTACTTAAGAAAACAGGGCTCTTTCTAGAAGAATTGCGCTTAGATGAAAGGAAGATCAATGGACGCATAAAATGGCCGGTGCTGGTTCGAGAATTCAAATTGGCTCGCAGAAGCTTCTGTTTATTGGCATGTTCTATCGTCAGATGGCAACGGAGGACCTGTCGAAATACGGTTCGGAACTGCTGAGAAGAGATGTTGTACAGGAGTGGGTTTACCACAGAACTGAAGTAAAAGAAGGTATCTGCAATGGGAAGAAGGATCATATACGCTCTGAAGTAGGGCACAGTCCAGTCCTGCTTAGGTTTAGCAGCAGCCATGATCCTTCGAATCTGATTTGGAACCCAACATATTGCCAGAGTGGCAACAATCAGTCCTGTGAGCAAAGGGGGAGAAAGAGAAAACATGTGAAACAAATCATACAATATTTAGTCTCTCAGTTTTGCACTTACTGGGTAGGAAATGGTACTGATTTTTCACTGTTTTGCTCGACAGCTTTTTCTGCCAGTAGCAAATATTTTAACAGGTTCAAAGTCATTGCCGTATATGATTGGATAAAGATTGTGTAAGATTGTATTTATTTCTACCTGTTGGCACTTGTTAATTTTCAGATGTTCTCTCATTGATATTTGTATCTTTAGAAAGAATGGGAATTTTTTTGTTCCTACATTTGTGTTTTCCCTTTTCTTCCTTTTTTTAAAAAAATATAGCCATATTAGTGCAGGCAATACCCAGAAGAGAGATCAGACTGTTTGTATTTTACCAAAAAAAAAAAAAAAGAATGCATAATAGTATATTAGGCATTATTTTTGGTAACTTTCCTCTTACAGAAGATATTTTTAAGTAAAGTATGTATGGATCTTTTTAGGGTAATTAAGAAGATATATGTTGGGAATTAAATTCATGAATGTAAATGGCACAGGAAAGACAGAAATGTAAGCAGTTTGAGATAATACAAAATGTGTTCCAAAATGTGGTATCTGATCATTCTATATTTACATATAATGTGTCGCTGCATCACGCTACCTTATCGACATTTTTTTAAAGGAAAACATTATCTAAATAGACATCTGAGGATTCTGTCTTTATGGAGAAGCTTTCAATAGAGAAACAGCAATAATGGAGTCTCTCTTGTGACAGTAGCATTAGAACACATCTATCAGAGTACTTTTCACCCAGTGGTAGCACAAGGATATGGAGGCAGGGAAGGGAATGCAGTCTGAGTTTTGAAACTACTAACCTCTAGCTAATATGGAAACAAATGCTGGAAATCCTAACTTCTCATTTGACGATGAAACAAATTCAAATATAAATACTCCAAGAAAATGTACTAAAAATTGAAAACTTTACAGTTTCCACTATATTTTTCCCTTTTCATCAAAGGTGCCTTGTATTAAAACACAATGGTAGCAGCAGAGTCTGCCTCCCCTACAGTTAGAATAGTCTTGTAGAGCTCTGTAGTGCAAGGCAGCACATTTTACCAGATTTTTTCTACCTTTGATTTTATAGTTCTGAAATCCAACCTGCTTCTCAACAGAAACAAGAATTCTGCTGCTGCCTTTCAGTAAATTTGGTTTCATAACTACACCCCACGTCTTGTTAATTCTAAAACATAGAAAGCAAAAGAGAATAATTGACTGGAAAGGATGAGATCACTTTAGGGAGACATGGAATTCTAAAACAGTGCGATAACATTTGTTGGCTTGAAAACCAGTATTTTACTAGAGTCAAAATTATGAATGTAAAGAAAAAGATATGAGGCTTTCACCACTTTGGAAGTGCCAGGACTCAGAAACAAGCAGTGTGTGTATTCAGTGTTCCAAGAACTGCAGTTTTCACATTTTAATTTTATTTTTTCCAGATTCTTTAATAAAGAGATTCATTTTCTTAATGGGAGACCAGTTTCCCTTCTGTTGTACAAGGACTGTACAAATTTCTTCTCTCATTGACACATACTGATCAATTGAAAACCCTCTTTTCTGAGAATTTCCCCCCCAAAAAACATTTTAATTAAATTTAATTTTCAAGGACATTGCTGCCCTGAAGGATGGGGGGGGGGGGAGGGGTTGGTATCTCAGATATCAACATTACTGTATTTATAGAGGCTGGGAAAAGGAGAAATAGGAACTTGCTTGATTAGGTAAGTGACCAGAGGAGACAGTGTGGCCTCATCTTTTGCTTCTCCGCACATCACCTTTCATTCTGTTCTCTGCTATCTCAATACCTCACCCACCAGTCTCTCTGTAGATGTCCTGTAACATTTTTGTACTGCATGTCCCTCACCTCACATTTGTGTTTCAGTATTTGTGTTGCATTTCTGTGCCATGACATGAGCTTCGTGCAGAGCTCCAGACTTTAATGGTTTTCTTTGCTGCCAGCACTATAAATGTCAAAGAGCCATGGCAGAGAGAAGCAAAACAAGCGTCCTGGGTAAGAACTTTTCTGATGGATCATTTACTTAATTAGCACCTTTTATAGAATAGCAAAGGTAGGTTATTGGGCTGATTTTTGCACTCTGCAATCTAAGTACTTATATGGCCCTCATTACCATATGTAAGCAGGGGAATAGTCCCGCTATTGTGGGGAACTTTCCTGGCTTCTGCACTACCCCGGTGAAGTGGGCTAGTGAAAGGATCCGAGTCCTCACTCCCACTTCCTTTAGTCAGTGGCTTCCCTGCCCTTGAGGACTCCCCTTCCACTCTCCTGTCTGGCAGAGTCCTCATAACCAGTGGTGAGCTGGAACCTGTTGTTTAATTTAGAAGCCCTTTTAGAACCGGTTGTCCCTCGTGGGACAACCGGTTCTAAAAGGGCTTCTAAATTTAACAACCAACCAAAAGTGGCACCTTATGCGCCGACTCCATGGGTGCTCCGGAGCTGGAGCACCCACAGGAAAAAATTTGGTAGGTGCAGAGCACCCACCGGCAGCTCCCCGCCCCCAGCCCCAGCTCACCTCGGCTCCACCTCTGACTCTGAATTACGCTCTGACCCATTCTGCTTCTCCGCCCCCCCCGGCTTCCCGCGAACCAGATGTTCGTGCGGGAAGCCTGGGAGGGCTGAGAAGCAAGCAGCAGCTTCGCGCTCAGGCCTAGGGAGGCAGAGCGGAGGTGAGCTGGGGTGGGCAAGCGCGAGGAGGGCCGCCCGCGCCGCAGCAGGTAACCCGGGGGGCACGCAGGGGAACTGCTCCCCGCCCCAGCTCACCTCCACCACCCTTGGCCTGAGTGCGAAGCCACCGCCCGCTTCTCAGCCCTCCCAGGCTTCCTGCGCGAACAGCTGATTCGCGGGAAGCCGGGGGGGGGCGGAGAAGCACAGTGGGGTGGCTCATTCAGGGGAGGAGGTGGATCAGAGGTGAGCTGGGGCCAGGCACGGAGCTGCTGGTGCGTGCTCTGCACCCACCAAATTCTCCCCCTGGGTGCGCTCCAGCCCCGGAGCGCCCACGGAGTCAATGCCTCAGGCGCCACTTTTTATGTGATCAGTGGGGGGAGAGGCCGCTCGCCCCCAGCTACGCTACCCCACCCCAGGAGCCAGAGGGACCTGCTGGATGCTTCCCGAGAGCCGCCCCAGGTAAGCGCCAGGACTCCCCACCTCACTCCCTGGCAGGTCCCTCTGGCTCTTAGGGGTGGGCACCCACTACGGTGGCCCATGAGACCCTCCTGACCGGTTCCAGGGGGAGTCAGGGGACAGGGGAGGGGTGTGTATGGGGCGGGGGGGGGCTTCAAGGAACGTGGGGGGTTGGATGGGGCAGGAGTCCTGGGGGGGGGCGGGGGCAAGCCACGACCCCCTCATGGGGTATGGAGGGAACTGGTTGTTAAGATTTTGGCAGCTCATCACTGCTCGTAACCCCAACAAGGCTGGGCCCAGGATTCCTGGGGAGCTCAACCCCCAACCCTGCTGTGGTCACCTAAGACAGGGGCTAGGGTGTCCCCACTCTGGGGTACTTTCTCTGCACTGGGCACTTCTCTGACCCACTGATCATTAAATAACTTGCATTTGCTCAAAATTGTATGTAATCAACAATTAATTTTAAAAAGAATAAGGGAAAATGGGAAAGGTTAAAGGAAACACATCACCCCGCTCTGTGGCAGGGAACATCACAAACAGTGTCTCTGGAATGTCAGGGCGTTCACAGTCTGGTCCTTGTAAGTCCCAGGCTCTGGCTGTGCTGCAGGGATGCTGTCGGTTGGCCACTCGCTCTGGCGGTGGCCACACGCTCTCAGGCTCTAGGTGGCAGGGCCCTTCTTCCCAGCGTTGCCCCCGCCCTGTCAGGGTTACCAATCCCCCTCCGACTCCGGCCTGCAGAACCTCCTGGCTGAGGCGTCTCCCTGTGCTGGGCCCGTTGCCCAGGGTCCCCCCTTGCTCTCCCCAGCTGCTCACGACACCCGGCTCCGGACTGCTCCAAACCCAGCTCCAGCTCCACTCTGCCTCAGCACGGCTGCTGCTCCGCCTCCAGCTCCCTGGGCTGCTTCTCTGCCCCTCTGGCTCTGGTTGCTGCAGCTCTGCTCCCAGGACAGGTCTGCTCTGCAGGCCGCTTCTGTGACTCTGCTCCCAGCACTGAGCTGCTTTGTGGGCTGCTTTTCTGGCCCCTCTGGCTCTGGTTGCTGCCGCTCTGCGCCCAGGACAAGTCTGCTCTCTCTGGGCTGCCGCTCTGCGCCCAGGACAGGGTCTGCTCTCTGGGCTGCTTTTCTGGTCTCTTCGGATCTGGCACAGCTCTGCTCCCCAGCTCAGCTTGGGCCCCAGCTTTCTCCTTAGCTCGGCCCCACTCTGTCTGACCCAGTCAAATCCAGCTCACACAGAGGACGGGACCTCCCTGGCCTCCTGACTCCCTGATTAGCCTGCCGCCCTGTCATTCAGGCTGACCTGGAGCATAGGCCTCTCCCCATTGTTCCTAGGGACCGTCAGTCTCAGGGTCCTTATTTCACCATCAACCCTTCCCCCTTTTAGTACTGGGAGCTAGCAACTAAAACACCCCCACTGAATGCTAGTAAGGCGGCAACAGTCCCCTTACACATAGTATCTGCAACCAAATTCTTATCACGCTACGAAAGCTTGTTTACTATAGAGTAAATCAATTTGTGTTTCATTTTTTTAAATTACAAGTTATTTTATCTTGCCAGATTATATAAAGACCAAGGATGGAAATTCTACTGTGAAGATCTCATCTTCTAAAACCAGTGTTTTAGTTCCATTTTTAAAGCTCTAACATCATGCCCTGAGTGTTCACATTTTTATCTTGCATCCTTTGACATTGACCTTTATTTTGAGTCTAAACAGCCAAGTGTGTAAGATTCCTCCCTATATTCTTCAGACATGTCTGTTCTGGGGGAATTGACTATTTGGGCATGTGTACAGCAAGTGAAAAATGAGCTGTTTGTGCTCTTGTGCAGTACCACGGTGGTTAGTCTTTTTAGGGGGAGGAGAGTAATTTCTCTGTAAACTTTGTCATTTTTAGAAGAACAAGTAATTATTCATTTTTACACTTAAAAAAAAAGTCATTGTTTTAGCAGAGAAGCACCACGTGAATAAATATACTGACAAAAAAATCGTGTTTTATTCTAGCTGTTTGCATTTTGTTCAGATACACTTAGAGTTACTTCATACCTCCAAGGAAAAGCTTTACATTCTCATTCAGGCCTTAATATAATGTTTTAAATATGTTGACTGAGTTACTGCTGCAATCAATCTGAACTTGTATACAGGCTCGGGGTGAAGGAGGGCATAGTATTTGATATGTAATGTGCAGAATGCACATACATTTGTGTATGAACTTTAATGAAGATCAGTGAAAATAACTCACATGTAAAACAAACTGTATTTTATACCAGAATTGATACATCTTTTCCCTGTGACTTCTATGCACACAGATCAGTCACCTGCTGTCTATTATAACCTTACATGTTTCACCTGATCTGCAAGCCCCCTAAGTCATTTTTCCTCTTGATTACTGTACTAAAATGACAAAAGACATTAGCACAGGACACAGATTTATCCTCTCAGTATTGTTTAAAAACAAAGTAATGCAGATGTCCAACAAACTGTAGCACTTGATGCTTGAAATTTCCAACAACACTAGAATCATTATGCATGGTTTAATATTCAAAAGTTCATTAAACCATGCAATCAGAGGCTTGGAGGCTTAGCACTAGCTGGTTGAATGCATACTAGTGAATACATGCCAGTTTTTAAGTAAGAGTAACTACATTGACTCAGTTATTTCAGCAAACTTAACAAAACTCATGTAACTCAAGTGCTTTGAGATCCTTGGATGAAAGGCAAATAAATTTAAACATTAAGCAAACTACACAACACTTTGCCCCAACCAAAAGTGGCCCATTCTGCTAGAAATTTAGTTTTAAAATGTAACCCTCCTTTTTAAAAATTGTGCATTTCATTGTACGTATCTTGACAAATGGTTGCTAGTTTAAATTAAAATAATTGTGAGTATAAAGCTTCTTTCGGGAAGCTACAATATCTAATCTTCATAAGTGATAAAGGATGGTCTTTGTAATAAAGCAAACCTAATGCCTAAGAGCTAATGACATAAATATGCATCATTGGCACAGAATAGAATGAGTTTGGCAGTCATTTCTCTTAACTATACTTTTTATGACTCAAAACATTCCCCTGAGCTATAGAATGGTAAATTAAATTCATTACTGTCTTTACTAGGTGATTTTAAATACATTCCAGCTAGCAGGATCCAAAGTCTGGGGGAGCACACTGGGATTTTCTACAGGTTTTACTTGTTTCAATGTTGAAAAGACCAGAATGTGCCTGATGGCTCCTTCCCCCTTTTCTTTGTTGTCAAAGTATGTTATTTCCACCCTGCAACTAGGCACTGCCAGACCAATCCACAGAACCTGGAGTCATCTAATGAAATTATAAAACACAGTCAGT